ATTCTATGATTCTATGATATTATCTTTCTCTCTCCCCTTTTCTTTTTCCTCCTTCCTCTTGTCTAGACACCACTGCATCGTTAGAATAGTCCCAGCCATGATTTGGGCCCAAAGTGCCAACTCGTGATCTTCTAAGCAATTCCCCAGCACTGTGCAGGATTAAGCCTGGGCCAGCAACCATTCCCAAGTGGCAGATTGCATATAGGAAGCTGGTCTGGAAGCCAGAAGAGTTTCACAGCACCAGCAGGGCCAGACCTGCATCCATCAGCCCGAGAGACAAGCAGCTGGGCTCCATTTGTGCGTCCGCAGGTTGCCCCCGCGTCACCAGTCACTCGGCTGGGCTCTCGTCCAGCAGTGGCTGTGTGCCCTGGGAGGCAGCACATGTGACAGCCACGTGTTGCTCGCAGACACATCTTTTGTGTCAGAATGAATCAGGTGCTTCTGAGCCAAAGACAATGATTTGTAGTGTGGAGAAATTAGCAGATACAAATCTGCTGGTCTGCCTTCGTTATATGGAGCCTGCCTGGTTTTGTGAAGTGATTCTCATAGCAAAACCACGAGGAGCAGTTGTTTATGTGCTACCAGTCATAAGAGAAATTCCACTTTTCTGTAGATGAGAAACAAACTATATTTTATGTTTGCTGCATCACACACTTTTGTCAAGAGCTAGAAAGTCAAATTCTACTTTTCATTTAGTGTATCTTTCTGCTAAGAAATATCTAGTCCCTGCATAGCTGTTATTCTTCCTATTCCACTGTTCCTATTCCAATATTTCTGATAGACAGGGGTCTTTTTACCTTTTTTTTCTTTTAATCTCAATTTGCAGAGAGAGATTCCTGGAAACACATTAGGACACATGACATTTCTCTGAATGTTTGCCAGAAACAAACACAGGTTACTAATTGCTACGGAGTGGATTAATCTTGAATTTAAGCTGTACATTAGTACTATGGAATGCTTGAAGGACCTTTGTTAATTCTAGCAAAGTATTAGCTAAGTATTAGCAAATTATTTTGACAGCTAAAAGTAGCTATTACTTTTAGCGAAGTACTTTAATAGCTTCATGGAGAAGAGAGCAGACCAAAGTAAAATGGACTGTGCTATCTAGAAATGGATGCAGCAAATGGATTACAACTGAGCAATTAAATTACTAATTTAGAGCAATGCAAAGTGGCAGCTGCCTGTTTGGATTTGGAGTTTTGTCGTTACTCTCACAGGGCAGGATTGTTCCTTGGATGCCCTCAATGTGTAAGTGGAGGTGGGATTATCTCCAAGGGTAGCAAACTAGCCCTGCAGAAATCCAGTCCATAAAGGGCTCGCTTGATGTGCCTGCCAGAGAAATTATCTGCATCCAAAATAATTAGATTTTTTTTGTGTCTTTCAGTTTTAACACAGCTCCTTAGTCATATCTGATCCATGTGGTTTGAAACTACCTTTTAATCCTCTTGTGCCAGCACAAGATAGGATCGAACAGCCAGTATGGTGGCAGTGCCTGTTCCTGTGGGCCCGTGAAGGCCGAGCATGGAGCAGGCTTGCAAAGCAAGGGGCCCATCTGCTCTGCCATGAACTGCAGACTGGTCAATACTGGGTCTTTCTCACAATTGACTGCATAGGGTTCAAGAGTCAGGGCACAACATCAGCGATCTCCTACACTGCAAAAAGAAGTGCATGTGTTCCCTTACTTACTTTCCTCTACAGCTACAAGTGTGGGTGGGACTAATTACAATCCTTCAACTTTCTGTGAACTTTCCATTCTAGATGGATCCCTGATGTTTCACCAGTTGCCCTTGGTGGAGATTGACGGGATGAAGATGGTGCAGACCAGAGCCATCCTCAGCTACATAGCTGGGAAATACAATCTCTATGGGAAGGACCTGAAGGAGAGAGCCCTGTACTGTAACAAATCCTTTCACTTAATAACCAATCTATTATATGACATCTGTATTGCATACAGTATACATGCAACAAAATCTATCCTGTATATTAAGAAAAATCAAATTAAGAAAAACATTAAAGAGCAAGGTCCCTGACCTTTGCTTAGGTTTCAGCATCAGCTTTTGAAATGGTAAACAGAAAACAGTCCTTAGTCCTTTTAAAAATACATTTTGTTTATAGTTAGGTTTGGCTGTGCAAATTGGTAGTACAGTGGTGGTATCCAGGTCCCTAGTCATTGGAAAACAGATGAAATAACCCACGTGTTCTTTCCTCTTGTCTTCTTCCATCAATAGCATTGACATGTACGTGGAGGCAATAACAGATCTGACAAACATGATCATGATGTTTCCTTTCTCTCCACCTGCGGCAAAGGAGAAAAATTTGGCCTTGATTATGGAGAGGGCAACACACAGGTACTTCCCAGTCTTCGAAAAGGTAAGTACAAGTGAGGATGTGCCTATAACATGTTCTTATGATTATCAGAGAGTTTCTCCATAATAAGAACATGCTGGTAATGCAGGTTAGCTCCTACTCCCTGGCTTTCCCAGCTCTCTCAAAGAAGGGGAAATACTGCAGAGCTGTTCTTTATTTGCTGGCTTGTGCTATCAGGTTTGTGGTATTTTCCACACTTATACTTGTTCAGAGCACATTTTTCTGCCACACTTAATTTTAGTTTTGACATTTTCATTAGAAGAATGCAAAGATCCCTTTAGAATAAATCAAAAATGAAACCTGATTTTATAACTGCTTTAGTAAAACAAGAGTTCTACATGTCCTGCTTTCAAAAATAACAAGCCAAACCCTTAGGATTCAGTTGGTTACAATTTTGAGCTGGCAACATTTCTCACTTTCGTAACATTCATCTGGTTTTGACAGGAAGCAATAACAAAGGCTGAACATCTTAGAAATTCTTATGAATACAATAAAATAATTCCCAAATGCAGGGATCTTGTTTGGTTAGCTATTATAATTTTGCATTTTTAAGTTTCCTTTCTGGTTCAGTACATAAATGACATTTTTGTAAATTCTTTGAGTTACTCTTTAATTTCTCTATTATACCTAGTTCTAATTCTGCAATCATTAATATACTGTTTTCTTAAGCAGGCATTTTTGTCCCTGTTCTCAGTGTCCCAGTGTCTATGACTGTTTATCATTGCCAAGCTTGTAGTCTGTTTACAACAGGAATTCAGATATTTTTCCAACAGTTCTGAAGTGGTTTATGCTGACAGTCCTCCAGCTAAAACCGCCTCCTTAAAATTACAGTCATAATTTCTGCTCTGCTCGATAGCTGTGCTATGAGGCTTGGTTGTCAGGCATTGAATGCGACCCTTATCAGTAACCCCTTTTGCCTTATGTCCTGCAGGCTTTGAAACAGCATGGCCAAGACTTCCTTGTTGGCAACAAACTCAGCTGGGCAGATGTTCAGCTGATAGAAGCCATTTTAGCAGTGGAGGAGAAATTCCCTGCCGTGCTGTCAGGGTTCCCCCAGCTGCAGGTAACTCTGACATTGGACCCCCAGGAGCTGCTCAGTACAAAGACCTCAAGGATTTCATGTGAGAGAAATCCTGCAGTAATCATCACTTCTCCGTGCCATGTAAATCAAGAGTGTGGGCTCTTTGGGGAACTATCCCCAAAGGGAATCACTGATCTAAGCTGCCCTGTTCTCATTTTCCTACTTCTGTCAGTGGATGCTGTCTAATACTGGATAACAAATGGAGTGGGTGATACAGGCTGAGTGTTAGAATTAGGCACAGTGTACCATTTTCCCAACTGCCTGGTGTTGCAGTTTTGGGATCCCATTCACCTCACTTCACTTCTGACTTAAGTAGTGTGACTAGGGAATCATGTCCTACCATTCACCCACAGTTTTCTCTTGATAATCAGCTCTCAATACAATTGGGGATGAATACAATTGGGTGTCAAAGTCTGTCACTAAGCAGAGATGAGGCACTTCTGCTGTGAGATTTGGCTGAGAATCAGAAGTGCTTCAGATACGCAGTAGGCTGTGCAGCACTGCATGGATGGGCCTGCTGCCGCATCACGGGCAGGAGTCCTAAAGAGTCTGCCCAAATGGACACACATATTCTGTGATGAAAAGAAGCATTTAGTGTTCACTAATCCCCTCTCGTGCCCCTGGTCATGGTAACAAAGCAGTCCAAGCAATGCAAATTTGGTGTGAGTGTGTCAGACTTGTGGTCATGCTTCTTTGTGTTTACAAACTGTTCTATGCAGAGACTTTTGCTTTAATCCCCTTAAGGAAAGAAAAAAATAAACATTAGATTATAGCAGAGCTTTATTTTATTTTATTTTATTTTATTTTATTTTATTTTATTTTATTTTATTTTATTTTACTCAGAGCTGGTGAAGAAATGGTTAGATTTCGTTTTGTTTGTTCGTTTGTTTTTAGTCTCAACACTATTAGTTTAAGGCCAAGTTTAGTGTGATAAAATGAGGTTCTTCAGGCACAAAGCAGGCTGCAGTTCCTGGCAGACTGTAATCCCTTTGCATCTTTGCAGTTTTAGAGAATTCTAGCCTGCAGCTCTCATCTCCTATGTTAACCACCAGGCATAGCCACCCTTGCGCTGAAGCCATGTCTTGATTTAGGAGGTGTTTCCTTCGCTACCAGTAGATAAACAGCTTTTGGAATTGGTGCTTACTTATTCCACATTTTTTTTCACTTTTATTTTTCCTTCTTGTAGTTCTCCCTTATCCTTACAGTACCTGTAAGGAAGAGGAAATTACATTCATACTGACTGTCACTTTAGGAAGCTCATCCCCTTGGTCCCATTGCTAGAGGTGGTCCTGACGTGTGTATGATTGCTTAGCTAGCATCAGATCTTTAGCTGCCTGAAATCTGTATGTGTGTGTCCTCTCAGACTGTCCGTAGATTGAGAGATCTCAAGAAGCTCGACTCATTTGCCTTAACATAAGCATCCCCTGGCACTCAAATTGACCAAGTTTGCTCCAGCCCTAGTCCTGGCCTCTAGCCACTGCTCCAGGAGGGAACAGATCCCCCAGAAGTCCTGTGTTGTATCTGCCAACCCCATGTACATCACAAGCTACCCTAATGTATGACAAAGAGCACTAGATGCCTCTGCTGGACCACAAAGTTGATCCTAGGCTACCTCCAGCTGCTTTACCCTCTCCATGCAGTCCTGGAAGCACTGGGACAGTGCAACAGCAGCTGGCATACTAAATGTAAGCAGAGCTCAGATACTTACGTAGAGTAGTAAAAATAGAAAAGCCATTCTTCAGGCATCATGTGGTTTGCCTACAATGTAGTTGGCACCACTGGAACCAGCAACAGGGAAAAAAAAAAAAGGTCATGAACTTGGAGCATGCATAGCATTAAAGTATAACACTTCCTGGTCCCAGATACTGAGTCCTTGGCATTTCTTTGTTTTGTTTTGTTTCATTTCTTTCTGTTGGCAAGAGGTTTAGGTGCTGCTCTCCCATGCTGCTTTCACCGCTTCGAGCGGACTTCCTGCAGTAGCTGGGTCCTCCTCCTGGCAGAGAGAGGAGAGTGCTCAGGTGGTCCCCGAGTTAGTAGTGTTGGGATCTCTTCTGTCAGCCAGGGAAAATCACTGTTCCGTGCAAGCAGCCACACTTACTACTGTTCTAGCTGGAACTTATCCTTTACCTTGTTTCTATGTTTCAGGCTTTTAAAACAAGAATGAGCAATATGCCTGCAATTAAGAAATTCCTGCAGCCTGGCAGCCCAAGGAAGTCCCCACCAGATGACCGTTATGTAGCGACTGTGCTGAAAGTCCTTCTTGAAGATGTCAGTCTACGTCAATCTCCATAAAGCCCAAATACTAAAAAAGCCCTAGAGGAAGTAGGCAGCACAGTAAATTAGTACTGTTAGAGTTAAAATCAGTTATAAAAAAAACCACTGAAATAAAATTTTCTGTTTACTCTGGCAACATAACAGCAGATTTTTTTTTTCTTTTTCATAGATTACTCTTTTCCTCTCTTTGTCACCTGAAGCTAGACACACAAAACAGATTGGAGACATTTTTGCCCCTGACTCTAGAACTCATTCCCCGAATGGGGATTTAGCTGCCACCTACAGCATAAGCGCAGGTACATTTGGGGCAGCATTTAGGATCTTAACAGCCTCATTTTGTTGTTATACCCATGTTTGATGTGACCTCCAGAACTACATAGCTAAAATTTGTATCTATGCTATTGCATTTGATGTCACTTAGCACAGACAGTACAGAGAATCAGGGGCATGCCAAGTCCTGTACCTACATACTGGCCATTCC